CTGATGCAGAGAGCTGACTCTTTGGAAAAGACCCTGATGCTGGGAAAGATTGAAGGCAGGAAGAGAAGGGGATGACAGAGGATGAGATGGTTGGATGGCATCACCGACTCAATGGACATGAGTTTGAGCAAGCTCTGGGAGATGGTGATGGAGAGAGGAGCCTGGCGTGCTGCAGTCCATGGGGTCGCAAAGAGTCAGACACACCTTAGCAACTGAACAACAACCACCTGCCTTGGTGCCTTTGGAGGGAAATAGAAGTAACTTACACCACCCGGAATGGTAGCACTTGGATTTTCCCCTAATTCCACCCACTGTTTCCTCTGTGTTCTCAGGCATGAAGTGTTGGCATCCTCCCCGTCACTCTCACAGGTTTGTACTGCAGACCAAAGAGGAAGCAAGGAGGCCTCCCTCTTCTCTAACTCCCAGCCATCCTTCAACTGCTGGTTTTGTCCTCTACAGGAAAGTGCCCAGTTTTGTTGACAACATTTTCCGTAAAAAAAAAAAAAAAAAAAGATGGGCTTTAAACCCTGACTTAGATTCTGAAATAATGGTCTGTCTGGGACAAGACTCATAACTAAACCGCCAGCCGCCACCGCCACGCCTTCATGGAGGGTGATGCTTTTATAAAAGAGATTTTGGAGAAAGACAGAACCACCTGAAGGAGATGCCGGCGGAAGGGCAGCTTCCACGGAGAGGAAGCAAGTCGAGCAAGTCAAGGCAAGGTGAGCTGGCTGCTCTGCAAGGCATTCCGTGGGCCTGGGGGTGGGAGTTCAGCTGGGGGGCAGGCAGGGCGGGGAGGTCAGGAGCCAGGTCACAGATCCTGGGTGCCACATGGTCTTTTAGCGTTGACTGATATTTTAACTTTGCATGCAAATTACTTTAACAGAAATAAAGAGCCATGGAAGAGTAAATGGGAAGCGGGGGCAGAAAAGCTTGAGCATCCATCCTGTCAATGGCTCCATGGGTCAGGGAAGACAGAGGAATAGCCACAGAGGATGACACAAATGAAGGAAGAACTGTGCTGAGACGGAAGGGGCCAGAGCATATTGATGTCTCGTGTGGACGTAACAGGGAAAAAGGAAGCTGAAAGAGCAGAGGGGTGAAGAGATGACCAATCATGAAATCCTGAAGGAGGAGGTAGCGGGGAAACGCGGACCGTCATCTGGGTTGGGAAAGTTTGGGAATGATACACTCCCGTGTCCTGGGGAATCCTCCCTGGGCTCCTCTTGTTCCCTCTTCTCTCTGCCCGCCTGCCTCCCACACACATGTGCCCTTCTTATCCATGGGATTTTTCCAGTCAGGAAAGCCTCACTCTCTCCTCAGTATTTCCAAAACTATGAAGGAAGGAGAAATTCAAATCTCTGCGCATCTTACATTCGTGGACAGGTTTTTGTTTCCCTGAAATTACACTCTTCCCACACTGCACATCAAAGCTCTGTCTTCACTTCTTTCTTAAAGACATTCAAGTAAGAGGTCCAGTAATGCCCTACCCTGAATGAATCCACGGAATCCTCCAGACACTCCAACTGCCCCATGTCAACCTGTCCTCACTGAAAGTATCATAAAGATAACAGTAGAAACTGAATGCCTCTGTTCAATCAGGTGACCCAGATGGGGAAGTTATTTTCAAGAAACGATCAAGATCCTCTGAGCCATGTCTCATCTTGGAATGTTTCTGGTACTATGCATGCTACATGGCCATGATCATAGTATATAGAAACAGCCAACACACACAAATTATCTTTGTGTGTGTTGACTGTTTCTGCATACTAAGATGGTCAGTGGTAAAGAATGTGTCTGCCAATGCAAAAGCTGCAGGAGATGCAGGCTCGATCCCTGGGTTGGGAAGATCCCCTGGAGAAGGGCATGGCAACCACTCCAGTATTCCTGCCTGGGAAATCCCATGGACAGAGGAGCCAAGCGGATTACAAAGACTCAGACAGGACTTAGGGACTGAAGAACAAGACCAGGGTTGCTCTGTAGCTCTATGGATGGGGCCCCACGTGTCCCCACATTGTAATCTGTGGCCATGGTACCTCTCTCCCTCCCAGGATGAGATCTGATGGCATCTGTCCACAGTAGCCCTGGTGAGATCCCTGCTACATAATGCTTTGTTCCAGAACAGAGGGAAAAAAACTCTCACCTTTTCATCCCATTCATTCTTACAAAAGCACATGCATCTTAAAAAAAAAAACAAAAACATTAAATTCACACATGGAAGCCAAAGTTGGAGTGCACTGAGTCCTCCACCTCCAACCCCCAGTGGACGTCACTTCTAATATGCAGTTTAAAACAAAGTTAGCCAATCAGCGTCGAGTTGGAGCTAAAATTACAAAGGAAAACTGCCACAGCAGTTGCTCTTTATCATTTCTGAAAAGCGAAGATGTGCAGTGCCACTGAGTTTTCTTAGCGGGCTGTGTCCCAAGGCCCAGATGTGTAAACATCCTGTCCATGCACGGTTAAGCATCTTCTGGGCCCTCCCTGTGGATGGAATGAGCTTCCGGGCAGAACCCCTGTAAGCGTGATGCGTGCAGGTGAAAAAGTGAAATAGCAGCAGTCACAGCTGAAGAACAGCAGGTAGAATAAAAAAATGCAGCGCTTCATTCTCTGGACTCCTTCGTTTGTTCAAATACAACATGTTATGGTACAACAATATGACATAGCCTAGATGCCAGGGAGGCATTTGAATAACAGCATAGCGCCTTTGTTTCTGAAGGGGATAGTGTTCACTCTACAAAAGAGGGGAGCTCCCTTTCAAAAGAACACAAGTTGATATTCCAAATGGCCAGATCTCTAGTTTGAACGTGTTCAGAAAGTTTGTGTTTTCTTTTTCTCTCATTCTCCCTCTTCTTCTACCTTGAAATTCCCTTATCAGGGCACATCGACTGTGGTTGCTTAACGTTTTAAAGTGTTTGCTGAGACCTGAGCTGTTGGCCACAGTGATCCAATTAAGTGAGTGTGAATATGGAGACGGGTCTACCTCCTTCATCCACAATTTGAGTCCAGGTTCTACAGGGAACAGGAAGTCCGGTGTGGAAAGAACTCAGAAGACAGTCTCTTTACCCTGAAGCTCAATGATTCCCTGGTAGCTCAGATGGTAAAGAATCTGTCTGCAGTGTGGGAGACCCAGGTTCAATTTCTGGGTCAGGAAGATTCCCTAGAGAAGGGAAGGCTAACCATTCCAGAACTCTTGCCTGGAGAATTCCATGGACAGAGGAGCCTGCCAGGCTGTAGTTCATGGGGTCACAGTCAGACTTGACTGAGCCACTAACACTTTCACTTTTTTTTTTTAAGGGCTTCCCTTGTGGCTCAGCTGGTAAAGAATCTGCCCACAATGCAGGAGACCTGGGTCCGATCCCTGGGTTGGGAAGATCCCCTGGAGAAGGGAAAGGCTACCCACTCCAGTAATCTGGTCTGGAGAATTCCATGGACTGTATAAGCTATGGGTCACAAAGAGTTGGACATGACTGAGTGACTTTCACTTTTAAACAGTGGGCTAAAAACCAATCATATGTCTTTAAAAAAAAAATCTACCTTTACACAAATATCAGGAACAGGGATTATCCAAATAATTTTGGAACCCTAACAATTCAGAAGTGAAAAGTAAAACCCATAACTAAGTACTTACTGTGTTGTTGTAAAGTTGACCCAGTTGGCTCAAAGACTTGGAAAGGTGCTGCCTACCTGAGACTTCAGATGCTAAGCTGAGGGTTATCAGCCTTGAGCTCATTTGTGGTTACTTGACTATGAAGCACTACGTCCACATCAACACGGTTAATCTCGTAGACAACAGCATTTTGCATTCACTCACTCTTCATGCATATTAAAACATGCTTAAACAACATGATACAAACACAAGTAATAATACACTTCACCACACCACACACACACACACACACACACACACACACACACACACACACACTCATGAACTGGTTCTGTACTTGCAAATCCACACTTGACTGTGAAAATGTTTCAATTCAATTAAGCTATGCATGATGTCATTTTATGTCTTGGCAACAAAGTATCAAAATTTACTGACCGCTATTCTCTATCCATTACAACCTCTGTTGAGTTATAAAGGGCCACTTGGCAGCACCACTCCACAATTTAAATCAACTGCACACTTGAGTAGAGCGTGAGTCTGACATTAATGGCTCTAAAATTCCAATATCTTTACAATACACACACACACAAATAAGTAAAACTCTGTTTTTAGAATTCCATATATTATTTCCATTTTATTTCACATTGGAATTGTCTCCTGAAATTGGCTTTGGGGCTTTGTTTTTGCAAAACTTTCGAGGCCCAGGCCTTGTAAGAATTAGGAAATGGTTTTTGCTTTTTGTTTGTTTGTCTGTTTCCCGCACATGAAGCAAATTTGGAGTTCAGTGGAAGTAAATGACAACTGGTAAACTATTTCCTATTTCAGAAAAGAGCGTTTGAAAAATCAGTTACAGTGGAAAAAGGCCTACTTAATTTCATTTACAATTAGGAAATAAGGCAGCAGCTTTGGAGAAGTTGTGATCTAGGCCCCCCTCCCCCCACCCCACCCCCACAATCATACTGGTTCAACTGATGAGTCTACTTTCTCGAAGCAAAAATGGCTCTAGGGGTCAGGCCCTGCCTCAGGCCCAGCATTCTCTGCCAAGCACGTAACATACAGTAGTTTTGCTAGTGAGTTCTATGTCCCGGCCTCAAAACAAATCCACAAAATAGGAAAGACACATGGCTATTAGTTGATTATTTTATGAACAAGGTATCGAAAACTCCAGTTAGTACACACAGCGAGTGGGCAGGGACAGACAGCAGCAGGAGCATCTGCTCGACCTACCCCCTCCGCCACTGCCCTCAGCCCTTCCCCCCTCCAGGAGAGGTAGCGCTGCTGGCTGCAGATTTCTTCAGCTCTATTTTCATAGACTGAGTCTCAGCTCGAGGCTCGAATTTGGTCAGATTTCCTGCTCCTGGGGCTGCCACTACTGGCTTTCCTGCTTTCATACCTTTTGACATAGGAATGCGGGTGGGTGTAGGTCGCTGGGCTGACCCGTCTTGTCCCGACTGCAAGAGAAGAAAAGACAGAGACACAAGGGCCGCGTTGGTGAGTCTCCCCCTAGAAATGCCATCCATCTGAACATAAGCACACCACAGGACCACCCGCAGATGAGCCCGCCCCAGAGAAGACTGTTGTTAGAAAGTTGGAGTGGCTTGCTGTCTAGTCCACTCCATCGCCCCCTTTTCCCTCTCCCTGAACATCTATGCCCAGCATCTTTCTGTTCTCAAGCCCCCGACCTTCACTCCTGTTTCACAGAAAAACTACAGGCCACCCTGCATACACTCAGGCATTCTTATCCCTCCTGTCCCCAAACCACCTCCACTTTCTTTAGATGAAGCAGCTCTCCTTTCCCCTCCTAATGAGGCCAACTCTTCTCTTTTTTGTCACTGTTGACCACATCCTCCGTTTTGCTTTTTTTTTTTTTTTGGCCTTGTGGCAGAGCATGCTAGATCTAAGTTTCCTGACCATGAATCAGACCCCATGCCCTCTGCAGCAGAACCATGGAGTCTTAACCACTGAACCGCCAGGGGATTTCCCCACACCCTTCTTCTTGAAACAACACAGTGATCTCGGTTCGTTTCCAAGGCTAACCATTCAACACCATGGTAATCCAAGTCTATGCCTCAACCACTGATGCCAAAGAGGCTGAAGTTAACAGGTTCTGTGAAGACCTACAAGCCTTCTAGAACTAACACCAAAAAGAGATGTCCTTTTCATCACAGGAGATCAGAATGCAAAAGTAGAAGTCAAGAGATACTTGGATTAACAGGCAAGTTTGGCCTTGGAGTACAAAATGAAGCAGGGCAAAGGCTAACAGAGTTCTGCCATGAGAACACACAAGTCATAGCAAACACCCTCTTCCAACAACATAAGAGGTGATTCCTTCTTCAAGGAGTTCCTAGAACTCTCCTGCTGTGATATCTAACTTGGGTCTCATCCATCGCCTTGGGTCTCATCACTGTCTCTGCCTCCTTTTCATTCTCAAAATGGCTCCCAGTTCCAGTGTGCCTGCCTTCCAAGTGTGGGTATCACCGTGCTCCATCCTCAGTCCTCTTCTCATTTTCCACACTCACCACGAAAATTACCTGAATTGTCACCCACATGTGTCTGAGACCCTGAACCCTGAGCCATCAGTTCAGTTCAGTTCAGTCACTCAGTCGTGTCCAACTCTTTGTGACCCCATGGACTGCAGCACACCAGGCTTCCCTATCCATCACCAGCTCCCAAAGCTTGATCAAACTCATGTCCATCCAGTCATGGATGGATCATGTCCATCCATCTAACCATCTCATCCTGTGTTGTCCCCTTCTCCTCCTGCCTTCAATCTGTCCCGGCTTCAGTGTCTTTTCCAATAAGTCAGTTCTTCACATCAGATGGCCAAAGTATTGGAGCTTCAGGTTCAGCATCAGTCCTTCCAATGAATATTCAGGACTGACTTCCTTTTAGGATTGACTGGTTTGATCTCCTTGCAGTCCAAGGGACTCTCAAGAATCTTCTCCAGCACCACAGTTCAAAAGCATCAACTCTTCGGTGCTCAGCTTTCTTCACGGTCCAACTCTCACATCCAACTCTCACATCACAGGGCTCTCAAATGCAGATCCAGATTTCTAACCACATGCTAGACATTTCCAGGGTCCCTGAGGCATCTCAATTATAACATGCCCCAAACGTTATTTATCTTCTTACCAAAACAATAATCCCCTGGGTTTCTCATTTTATCCACCCCTATGGCCAAGCCAGAAACCTCCGAGCTACCCTCTGAACTCAATATGTCATGAAATCTTCAATTCTGTCTTCAGTATATCTCTGTGGCAACCCTCTCCAGTATTCTTGCCTGGAAAATCCCATGGACAGAGGAGTCTGGAAGGCTACAGTCCAAAGGGTCGCAAAGAGTCAGACATGACTGAGCAGGCACACATGCACATCCTCATTTTCACTCCCACAGTTCAAGCTTACATGTCCAGCCTAGAGAACTGCAACCATATCTCTTCCCTCAGCCTCTGCTTCCTCCAACTGATCCTTTAAATTGTTTTATAAACATATCTAAAACAGAAATAATGTCATTTAAAAAATCACTACCCTGTTTATGGCTCCCTTGGCCTATTCTCTTGAGATTAAATGTCAATTCCATAATAAGACACACACGTCTTCAGCATCTGATCCGGTGTGCACCTCCTCTTCTGATCCTGCATAGTGTCTCCAGGTCCGACTGCTGCAGCCCAAAGGGACTGCTCACTGTCCCCCACGTGACAGCTTGCCACACTGCCGCCCCTGTGCACAAGCTGCCCTCTCTCCTTATCTGCGAATACTTTTGCCCCCGGGGAGGACTTATCCGCTGGTTCCTTTGTACATCACGCCCTCACAGAACCACTAGATGGGATCCGATCCTGCCTCTCCCACTAAGCCAAGAATTTCAGCAGTCCTCTCTACAGTCAGCACCCAACCTGCTGCCTGAAGAGCAGCTAAAATTGCACAAATGATCTAGTCACACTATTCGTCCCAAACTTATTGTTGACCTTGATTTTATGGGATCTGATCTACCTAAAGTACGTGGGAAAGCATTTAGCCCTTAGCAATCTTAGACAGTTGTTTTTAAGTCCTACTTGCACATGGGCTTTAATCAGTAATCCGAAATGTTACTCCAGAAGGGAGGGCTATCTTGATCTGACCCTTAAAATGGGAATAAGATGTTCCAGCAGAAACTTTGCTCTAAATTACAATTACACCTCCCCTAGCTTTTATTTAAAAAAAATCTCAGCTATGCTGTGCTGCTTAAAAAAACAGTATTGAACCATTTGAGAAGGGTGAGCAGTTCTGAATGATATTCAGCTCCTGTAGAGCCAATAACAAAAAGCTTTACTGACAAAGCAGTTTGTAAGTACTTTACTCTTTGAAGCCTGTCCTGGGTTTATGCTTGTGCACAGAGAATGAAAGTAAATTATAGTGAAGATACAGGCAAATAAGCCACAGTTTCTATACTTAAATAATAAGCTTCCTATCTTTTTAAGACTTTCTAATATCTGCTGCAGAACTTGCTCAGAGATTAGGGATCACAATTTCTAGTCTATTAGCTTAAATTAATATCTAAATAATACATGATCTTCTATAATTTCATCTACCAATTGTTCCCAATAAATGAAGAAAATCACTGGAGGTATTTTGAAAAACAGAATTTATTTTTAAGTTCTGGCCTTTATACTTTGGATATGCTTTCCTAGAAACCATTTAGCCTTCCAGCTGGTTTTAACTAAATATTTATCAAGCACCTGCTCGCTGCACTGTACTATTAATAAAATAGTGTTTAGACATATAAATTCACTTCTTTTTACTTTAAAAATTTTTTTGATAGCATAATCTTTTAATCTTACTTTTCACATAAAGTATGACTATGACCATACATAAATGAATATCAAATGTCTGAGGTTCTGGAAATATAACCCAGGAATAGTTTTCATTTTTTTGCACATTGGCCATTTCTTCCAGCCTCTATTTTTAAAAATACTTTAAACATTAAAAATCAAATTTTCAATCATATTATTAGCATAGGCTGATATGGCAAGAGGTCACTTTTGCAAGAGGGTTTTGAAGTGAACATGATTTAAACAACAAAAAGAAATTACCCCTCACAATTAGTTCAAATTAATAAAACAGGAGGCCCCTTTTTATTCTCATTTCTTGGTGCAGTCTCCCGGGGAACATCTGGTAGTGGGTTTGGGCGGAGGAGAGACAGGTGCTTTGGTTGTCTTTTGGGCACTGGGTTATTCTCAGCCTTCACTTCCCTGCCTGACCCCCGCATTGGCCTGAACCAGGACCCCTCTCTACTCACCACTGACTGGGTTCCTCTGGCTGATGAAGTCGTGACCGGGGTAATGGTGATGGTGCTGGTCACTTTGCTCGCGCCAGAGCGTGGCGAGAGGTGGTTCCTGGGCGAGCGAAGGACGGTGCCGGTGGACACCTCCTTCTCGGCCGTCACGTTGACCGGTCGGACAGTGATCACCGGACTCGTCCCTTCGGCCGAAGTCCCCGGGCCTCGCTTAAACTGAGAGCCTAGGTGAATGTGGATTTTGTTGTCTTCCGTGGTTATGATATTGGCATTGGCGTTGTATTTCCGGACTGGGGTTGGTCCAGGCTGCTTCTCCGGGGTGACCTTGAGGACCGTCCTTCCCACGGGCATTTCCTGGGATTCGGGAGGGACACTGATGTCCGTCGGTGCCGCCGACGTGGACACAGTCATGATCTGGATGGGGGACGTGGGCCTGTCGGCAAACGCCCCCCTCCCGCCCTCTGGGGTCTTCTCCCTGGAAAAGGTGGTGATGGTGACCGGAGACATGGCTCGCTCCGGCCCGAGGGTAGCTTCTGTGCCTTTCTGCTTCTGAGACAGGACGTTTGGGGAGGGGATGATGGTGATCCTCGGCTTCTGGTTGCCCAGGGTGGGGATGACGGTGGTGCTCGAGAAGAACTCTTCTGCCGTGGGGCTGGTGATCTCCAGAGTGGCGGTGCTGTTCTCGTGGTCCGGGGTCACGCGAATGTGCAGCGGCTGGCCCTGCTTGGGCGAGAGCACCAGCTCTCCCGGGTGCCCTGGGCTGGCACTGGCACGGGGCCCCTTCTCCGGAGCCACCGGGGGCCCGTTCTCCCTCTTCCTCATCCACGGGATCCAGGACTTCCTCATGGTGAGCTCGTTGGCCGCGGGTGGATACCTGTCGAGAACCGACGAACGTTCCAGAGGCTTCTTCAGTCCCACCTGGCGAAGGTTGCTCATGATGTGGTTTTCCTCCTGAAAGGACTTGCGGATGAACACGGCTGGTGTGTCCTCCTCCGCTGCCTCGCTGCCCAGGGCATCCGTCTGCACGCCCGTGGATGTCACGGGAACATCCACCATCCTGCGCCCATTCACGCTGGGCCGCAGGGCGCGGCTGTACCGCTTGGACAGCTCCAGCTCTTTGGTCAGATGGAGGACCTCCTGGCCCATGCTTTTGTTCTTATTTTCTTCTTCCATAAACCTCTGTTGAAGGACAGAGTAATCCACTTGGAGCTGAGAAAGCTGGTCTTCTTTGTTCATCAGTTCGTGAATCTTCTCTTTAAGAGCTTGGACCTCAGCTTTTAAATCGCGACTTTTGGCTTCTTCCAGCCGAAATCTGTGTCTCAGCTCAGCTTCTTGGCTCACGGCCTCGCCTTTCTCTATGGCTTTGTTCTTGGCGATTTGGTGTTTGATCTCCTCCAATTGCTGAGAGAGGAAATTGGCCTTATCCTGCTCGGTTCTAAATTTCTGCTCCAGCTGGTCATACTCATCTTCCGTCTTCATCAGGTCCCCTTCCACCACCTCCAGTTGTTGCAGACGGTTCTTCAGTCTCTCAATTTCCAGCGTTAGTTCCTTAATTTTGTTATCTTCAGGGCAAGTGAGCTCAGGTCCTTTTCGAGACCTTCCTCTTGTTATTTCTCTCTCCACTTCCTCTATTCCATCAAGTCTCTTCTTTAATAAGTCCACACTGCAGCTTAATTCAGAGGATTTTTCTTCTTCACTTTTCAGTTTGCCTATTAACTCATCTCTCTCTTTCGTTAAATTGTATACCTTTTCCTCCATTTCAGATTTCAGCTTTAAAAGCTTCTTACTTTCTTCGATGAGTTTTTCCGTGACGTCCATAACCTTTCCTTGTTCCACCTTAAAATTTTTGTTGAGTCCATCCACTTTTCTCTCCTCTTGCTTTATTTTTTCCATCATATTTTTCCTTTCATCCACCAGCATCACAGTAAAGGACTTCAACTTTGTAAGATCGTCTTTGAGGCTTAATTCAGCCTTTTCCAATCGACTTTCAGAACATTCCAGTTCTTTAACCCGACTCTTGACCACCTCCAGTTCATTGAGCAGGTCCTTGGTTAAGTTCTTTTCTTTCTCCAGATTTAAGTGCAGCTGGGTGCACTCAGATTTACTCTTGCTAAACGCCTCTTCCAGTTTCTCCAGTTCCGACATTCTCTTCTGTAACTTCTCAACTTCAATTTTGAGCTCCCGGCTATGGTGTTCTTCCTCCTGCAGTTTCTTTCTCAGTTCCCGGCACTGGGACTCGGTTTTCGTGATCTCTTCATCTTTACCCTCCATCTCAAGCACGCGCTTCCGTAGATTTTCCACTTCTGCCATGAGGCTGGAGTTGCCGCATTCCCCTTTGGCAATCTTATCTCTTAGTTCCTGAAGTTCTTCTTCTGCCTTCTGAAGGTTTTTGTTGGTCTCTTCCAGCTCCTCGATTCTCTGAGTCAGGCCAACCAGCTTGAGTCTGAGTTGTCTGTTGTGAGACTCCTGACTGGCCAACTTAGCATTCATCTCCTCATGCTCCTGGGAAAACCTTGATGCCTTGTGTTCGAAGTCCACTTCCAACTTGAGCAATTTCTGCCTGTCTTCTTTGGATTTGGAAGTGATGGCTTTGAGCTTTTCTTCCTCTTCCCTCAGTTTCTGAGTCAAGTCCTGTACTTTCTGGCTCTGCAGGCCAAGTTGCTCGATGTGCATCTGCCTTTCATCCACCAGCATGAGTGCAAAGGACTTGAGTTTCACAAGCTCGTCTCTCAGTTTGTTGAGCCGCTTAGCATTTTCCTTTTCTTTGCGGGCTTGGTAAGCTTTTTCCTGTTCAAGGAGTTTTTTCAACCTAGAAAACAAAAAATATCAAAATATCCTATTTTATTACATAATATTTTATTTATGATATGTTTTTATACATATTAGAAGATTGCGTGCATGCTAAGTCTCTTCAGTCGTGTCCAACTCTTTGTGACCCTAAGGCCTGTAGCCCACCCGGCTCCTCTGTCCATGGGATTCTCCTGGCAAGAATACTGGAGTGGGTTGCCATGCTCTCCTCCAGGGGATCTTCCCAACCCAGGGATCCAACCCACGTCTCTTAGGTCATCTGCATTGGCAGGCAGGTTCTTTACCACTAGCACCACCTGGGAAGCCCATTAAAAGATTAATCAGCAATAAGTCTGTCTTAGATATGAGCCAAAAATAAAATGTTATTATAATAAATCCCTTGTCAGTTACTGAAATATGAAGGTTTTACACATAGCCATAAATGAAACCAACCAGAAGTCAGGATGCTAGCTACACATAGTAAGGGGTAGCATCTAGAAGGGAGCCTGGAGAGAGCTTTTCACCTTTTCTGTTTCATAATCTGTGTGCCTTTTTCAAAGAATTATTCAGCTTCTGAAATTTCAGTAAATTGAACCCTGATGAGTAACTTTGTACATATATGCTATATTTCAATAATATAACGATGGAGTAAAAATTTAGGTTTTGCAATAATAGTGACTATTTGTGTAGAATTTTCTGTTTCTAGGCACCAGTTTTTATTTTATCCTCATGGAAAACCTCCGAGCCAGTTACTGCCACTGTCCTCCCAAGGAAGATGAGATGGGACCAGCCCCAGTCAGTCAGAAAGGAACAGGTCTGGGGTCTCATGCGGTGCAGCCCAGGATACTTGCTCTTCACCTTGCATCGTAAGACTTCAAAAGAGAAATTCACTTTAACTGAAAGGGAAGACTCAAAAAAGAAGATGCTTTGGGTTTCCTTGTTTTGTATGCAACTATCACCCGACAGTAGCAGGGCAAGACGAGCTTTCTGATAGAGAGCAGAGCTACATAACTGACTTGAGTTAACACCAGAGCTGGCACAGGATCTTGTCTCTGTTTTCTGATTTAAACATTTCCTTTTAGACTGAGAGCTAGGTAGGGAGGAAACACAAATTCCTATCAATCCAAAAAGACGTGGCAGTCACAGGAATTACTGTTGTATATGCATGAAATGCATTTTTTCTATGGTGGTGGTGGTGTTTAGTTGCTAAATCATGTCTGACTCTTTGCAACCCCATAGACCATAGCCTGACTGTAGCAAGCCTGGCTCCTCTGTCCATGGGATTTCACAGGCAAGAATACTGGAGTGGGTTGTCATTTCCTTCTCCAGGGTTATGGTGTTAATGTATATGTTTTAGTGTTAATGTATAGCTTTAAAAAGTAGAAATAGAAGTAGACCAAAGTATAGTTACAGTACTTATGGTTGTCAGTTAGCTTACACCAATTTTTAACAGTTCTTTTCAATTATCCATAAAACAAAATTAATATAATATTTACCATATGTAGTATAAGAATGCATTTAGTAATTTATGCTTATATGAGAAGCAAGTTATAAACAACCACTAATGTATTTGTTGTAAGTACATTTTTTTCTTTCAATATATTTTGAACTTTATTTATTATGAAAGATTTATTTCATAATTAGATGAACTTGGATTAGATTAGATTTAGTTGGATAACAGATTAGCTGTTACCCAAATAAACAGACCTTAATAGTGTCATATTGGACTGTGCAAGAAATGATGTAACATACACAAAGTAACTATAATCAAAGCCAGTGTCAGATAGTTATTACAGAAATAGCTCAGCTGATGTCACTAAGTTTTTTCATAGAATTTATTTCTATAAAATATACCATTGTATCTAAGCATCTATAACTTAAATGGGTAACTTTCCAAACTCATTATGGCTTTATTTATAAAATAAGACAAAAATAATTATTTTCAAATGCATGAGTTGAAGGAGTAATACTGTAATAGCTTCACTAATTGTGGTTCTTAAATGTGTAAAAGGGCATTTTATTGATTATCTTATCTTTTTACTTGGCGTCAAAACAATTGAAATGTCACTTTACTGTAGAATAAAAGACTTCAGGGGATATTTTCAAATTCTTGACCTAACTAGATTGTTAGAGACAAATTCCTTTAAAATATCACTGTTCTCAAATTTAAGGCTTAAAGTGTTGAAATTTCTAAAGATAGTTGTTGAAGAATCTTATGCCTCTGTGCTATTTGAAGCAGAGAGCTGGAATGGCTAAAACATAGACTTTGGGGTCAGACACAACTGTATCTGAATCCTGGCTCAACTGAGCCAGGATTTTCTAGGCTGTAAAGGAAGGTGCAGTGGGTACTAATACCTCCCACACAGGATGTTCTAAAGACTGAGAGATGGTAAAAAAAAAAAAAAAAAACAACAACTGACTGACACACAGACTCAACACATGGATGTAATAAAACATAAATATAAGAACTAGAGAGTACGCTATTTCCTCCACATGGGAAGTCTGTTCAATGTTTTTTGTGTTTAATCTGTAAGTATTTTTACATCATTATCTGGACCTTGATAGTAAAACCTGGGGCAGTAATGTTTCAACCAGAGAAAAGCATAGCGTTTTCTGCTCAGTAGACAATTCTGTGAGCCAAGGGCGTAACCTTAGATCTCAGGTCCATAAAACCACATTTTTCAGGTCCTCTTACCTGTGACTATTTCTCTTTTTCTAGGCCCATTAAACTTTCTCTCCTTCCCTCTTCTTTCACATTTTAAGCCATTCTCATCTTTTAAGGGCTTCCCTTGTGGCTCAGCTGATCAAGAATCTACCTGTGATGCAGGAGACCTGGGTTCAATCCCTGGGTTGGGAGGATCCTCTGGAGAAGGGAAAGGCTACCCACTCCAGTATCCTGGCCTGGAGAATTCCATGGACTATATAGTCCATGGGGTTGCAAGGAGTCGGACACCACTGAGTGACTTTCACTTTCACTTTCATCTTTTAAAGTGGACCTGACAGCAATACACAACCCATTCTCTGCAGGCTCCCAAGGCCCAGTTCCCAGTTGGTGTAGCTGAGAGTTAGATCCAGGACTTGGTAGACTTGTGTGGCTCAGTCAGGACACTTTGCCAACAGTATCTGTGCACAGAGGCCTGAATTCAAGTGTCTGTAGGCAGGGCGCTGGGGATGGGAAAGATGGGATGAACTGCAAAGACTTTGCAAAAGAAAATGTGGACTGTGACTGCTTACTCACTGGCAGGAAGGGAGAGAAAAAATTACTTCAGTGCTTTGGGTCTGAATAATTGCAAATAGTAGTGCCTTTAATAGAAGCAGGAAAAGAGATGAGAAAAGGTATTGGTAGAATTTGAGAGTTGAAGCAACACTAACTTGAAAAGTATACCAGACAACAGTTAACAATACTGTACTGTATACTTAAGAAAAATGTTAAGACGGTAGATCTTGGGTTTTTATTTCAATAAGGGAAGTGACAGTTCCTTAAACATGGGAATAAATATGATATGCAAAGGAGAAACTATGCACAGAGAGAAAAAGGAAAGGATGGAGAAGAACACCTGGGGAAATGCCCAGAAATAAAGGGCAAAAGAATGAGGAGGAGCTATGGGAACACAAGTCGAGAGGGGGGAGAGGGGACTGAGCTGGGGAGATATAATTATACCTGAAGAAATAAACATTAAGAAAAAGCCTGAAAAGTTTTCTAAGATATCAGATAAAGGGAGAAAGCTGTAAACAAATACAAAGTGGAGTGGAGAGAAAGGTGCAAGGGGAGACCCGTGGAACAACACAGGGGTGCCCCAAGAAAGAGAGGGTTTGTCTCCACCGACCTGCCCTTCCAGTCAATTTTGGCGTCTCATTTACAGGTTGTTTTTTTTTTTCTTTTTTCTTTTCCCATATCTACAAATCCTCCTTTTTACATTAAACAAGCATTGAGAAGCATTATCATATCATTGTGCACATTTCACAAACCATAACGACTATGGCATATTATATTTCTATTTCAAACAATTTTCTAATAGTTACACTTTCACATTGTGCTTTAAACACTTAATTTGCTCTACATTACAGGGCACTATTTCCATGTAATTACGTTATCGAAAGAGCAAATTAAGAGGATTTTGGTGCTTTATGTGCCCACTGGCCTTACCACCTCCCTCTGCTCTCTTTTCTATCCGCCTTGCCTTTCTTCAACCATACCCTGGTTCTGAACATATTAACATTAAAAGGAGACAAACCAGAAGACCAAGGCTAAGAAAGTGAATTAGTGCCCTAATTCTCATCAGCAGTTGCAAGCAGAGCATTAAGTATTCTGAAATCAAATTTATTCTTGGCAAGATCTTAATTTTCTGCAAACATTTTATCTTATTTAGAGGACAAAAGGAAGACAATAATCTAATAGATTCTTCAGAATTCTCTTGCCTTTCTTAATAACTATTCTTAAATGTATTCCTAATTTCTCTTTCATACCCAATAAAACTATGTGTTTTTTAAACTCACAGATTTGTCATTTATAAACATATTCAGAAATTAAATAATTTTCATCAAGAAAATGTTAAAAGTATAGGCTCAAATATTCTGTTTATGGGGCACACATTTGTCAAGACTCATCAAAATGTATAATTAAAATTGGTGAATTTTGTAATATATAAATTATACCTGAAGAAAAAAAATATTAAGAAAAAGCCCTGGAAAGTCTTCTAAGATGTCAGATAAAGGGAGAAAATTGCAAACAAATATAAAAGAGTCACTTAAAATACAGTAGAAAACATAAAATAGGTTATTAATCTTAAGGCAGAAAGAGGTAAAAGCAGAATTTGAAAAAATAAAGAGAAGGCAGCTAAGATTTTCGGATGGAGTTTGGACTGACTAGAAAACTTGTTCTGGGGAAATAATGTTTCAGGTACTAGAAAACCTTTAGTTCTAAAATTTCAAGAGGCTCTTAAAAGCACATCCCAAACTCAAATTTTTGCTAATAATTAATTTTTTAAAAAATAAAGGATAGGAAGAAAGGTGTTTTGATAA